AAAGAAATATAATATTATTGTTGAAAGTTAAATAGGTCATTGATGACTCATCAAAACAGAAAGTAAGCAATAAGAAGCCTAACAAGTTTAAACCTTGTGAGTTGTTGAGTCCAATTAAGGCATACATGATGACATGATTATTATAACTCATTAGTTATCCTACACGAAGCCCTGCAATTATATAAAAATTTGCTTATCAAACGTCAAATATTTACTTTATATAAATTAAAATTTTAAAATTCAAACCAAAATGATGCAAATCTAAAAGGAAGATTTACATACATATCACTCAATTCCTATGTATTAACATTTCCAGCAACTAAACTTCAATTTTTTCATACAAACCACCTTCCCCATGGATGAAAAGTTGCATTTCAGTTTTTAAAAGTTAACATGACAGTATTTTTTATGTGATATGAAAGATTTGGATGGTGATAATATAAAAAACAAATCTTAGGTGTTAGATATGTAAAATGCCAATCATTGACTGTTGATATTATTTTAGAATTTTGATTGCATCATTAAGAATAGTTTATTCCTACAAGTCATTTTGATTCAGCTCATAATAAAATAATTAATTATATATGATTCGCTATCTATTTATTTTAGTCACGGACTTTGTAAATTCCTAATTTTTCATCGGTATTGATAATGTTGCTTCACTTGCTCTTACTATCAACCAAAGATAAAATAAAAATGAAGATGTTTCTCCATATTCAAAACATGGACTTCTGTTCTTCTCAGTTTATTATTATGAGTATTTCCTGTAACATGCTGTCCATCAGTTTCCAACTAAATCGTCAGAGTTGATATTAATTTCCTCTACAACTACTATAATAGTTGTAATTGTTGTTTAATTTCCTTCCCTTACATGGTATTTTTAATTAAATGATTACTTTCTTTCTCAGCACTGCATTGTAGCTGGAAATGCTGGGAATAAGATTTCTGCAATTATTGGTAAGGGATAATTAAAGTTGAAAAATTGCTGTTTTGCTAAAAACTAAGGTTAGAAACATCTTATCGCAAGAACTCAAATGTGTTGAATAAAAACTAAGCTATATTAGGCAAGAATTCAAATGTATTGAACAAAAACTAGCTATATTTACTGTCTTTCGGGATTATAAATACGAGTCCCAGCCCATGAAAAAATAACACCAACTAATTGAAGGCTGACTAAAATTTTTAAGTTTCATTTCAAATTTTACCCATCTTGTTGATGTACAGTCTTAGTGCTTTGTGAGCCATAAAGACAGCTTATGGGAGATTCTTATCATACCATTATTATTCGGCTCAGACAGACAATTTAGTTATTTATATGTTCTTTCTTTTAAACTGTGTAGTGATTGATTGATTGGCGTGATTGAGCTCTTGTTAAATTAATTACTTTCTGTTTCTTTTTATAGTGTGAGCGATATCGTAGTACAATTTTATGTTAATTCACAGGTTTTTTCTTTTTTTTATCTTAGATATTGATGACTTTAAAATTATTATTTGAAATGAAGAAAATGAAGTGTCTGGCTCTGCATCAAAACTTATCTAAAATTATAAATTATATGATTACGAACTGTAGCTCCCCTGTTTTCCTCTTTTCATCTAATTTAAAGGCTGCAATAAAAAATTTTAGCAACACACCACATACATCAACCTAGGAAAAAAAAGGTAGCAAGGAGATCAAAATAAATGGAGGAAAAATTATTCCAAACACTAAAACTAGTTTCTTTTATCCCAACCTTATTACAATAATTCAATGCCACTTTGTTCCAAATTTCTTTTAAGACATTGAGCAATATGCTATAAATCTAAAACCAAAAAAGTGTATTACATCACCAATATAAACACAATCAAAGTTGATCGCTTGATAGTTTAAAAAAACATTCAATATCTATGTTAAAAAAAATGCTGATATTGCATGTATATAGTAACATCACAATCACGATTCATGTTAATAACTAATCAAGAACAACGAAGAAATCACAAACTGAATAGTGAAGACTCGTCTTGTAAAAAATGCAACGAATATTAATATAATGTCAAAAACAAATGGAAGGCAAAATTCACCAGCAGCTAGATTGATACGACATCCTGAAAAGCGAATGGTTAATAAATAAAACAGCACTTACTTTTAGAAAAAAAATCATGCCAGGAGTAACTCAAGTTGTTTAATTTTACTATAATTTGTGTAGGCCATACCAAAGGCTTGATCTGCAGAAAAGAAAATGCAGATGTAACAAAAGTGCCAAAATGTAGCAAAAGTTCATGTAACAAAATCAGAGATACTTACCAAAAGAAAGTACGCGAAGGAGAACTTTCCACCAAGTACCACAAGCCAGAAAAGCAAATATCTGGATGCAAGGATGGAAAAAATAAGATATTTTATCCCCTACATATAAACACCATGCTGACCAAAATAATTATGAATTTAAAAAACTAATAAAAAAATCAGAAATATTTAATTATAAGCATAATTGTGATGGCACATCAAAAAGGAAATGGATGGGGTGTTGCCTTTGTAGACCACACACTCACCCATCATCTCTTTCAGCTTTGTTTCCTCTTCTCTAGTAGAAACCGTGAGATGAGATGAAAAGGAGAAAGAAGACACGGAAAAATGATGGTGGCAACAGGGAAGACTCAAAGTTAATTCACAAAAAGAACATGGGCGAGATGAAAGCCATTAAGAGTTGGCTTGAATCTAACAAAGAGGTCATGAACATCTAGGTGTAGGAGACTTAGGGATGGTTCAATAATTGATTGACACGTGACCATCATTAGGATCATAGTTCACTGAAACAATCTTTATTGACAACTCTAAGCTCATCAGCACAACCATTTCTCCCCTTTCTTTGTTTTGTATATTCACTACAATCCCCACGCTTTGGAGAGAAGTCGTTGCCATGAAAACACTATTATTGAAGAATCAATGGATAGCAAACTTCCCACGGATCCAATAGGATTACCTATCATTTGTTGCAGAAATATAGAAATACTAATCAACATGGTAGGATAACAACAGAAGCACAGGAAAAAGGTGTATCATGCTTGGCTGACAGAGAACCAACACATTAGCAAGCTAGCAATACATGGATTCAACACCAATAAAAAGGGAGTGTAGAAGGATAGCAGGATATACCTAGTTTAAGATTTTAAACTAAGGGTGCGTTTGGGACCGCTTATTTATAGCGGTGGCGTTTTCAAAACGCCATCACCTGTTTGGAAATACCATTCTTACAACTTATTGTAAAACTTCGTTATGATTTTTGTATTAGACGCGGATCGCGAGTAGGACCCCGCGATCCGCGTTTAATATTGTAGAAAGACTACTAATGCCCCTCCGTCTCCTCTGCCCTAATTTTGCAACAAGCGTCGAGTAGATCCCGCACGTCTCAGCACTCCTCGGTCTCCATCGTTCTCACAGGTAACCTTTTTTCTTCCTCCTCAATCCTCGGTCGCTCTCCGGTTTGTATTTTTCCGTCAAGATGCCGCTCCAAAGGCTTTCTGTTCGCTGTCGATCGTTTGCGTTTTATTATTGGCTTTTTTTTTGTGGTGAAAGTTGGCTTTGGAAACTCATTTCGTCTTTGCACTAGCCGCGCCTCTGATCCGTCGCGTTTTTTTTTTCTTTTTTTGTTGTGGAAGGATTCGGGTGAATCTAATTTCGGAATGTGTATGATTCCTTCTGTACATGTTTATGAAATGTGTTGATCTGTTAGTTCTTGTTTCTATACTTCTCCTTTTTCTAATACTATTGTTTTGCTTTCCTTGATGGAATTGATAGATCTTGATGAGCAATCCTTGGTGAACAGTTTTATGATCGTTTTCTAGAACATCTTGCTTCTTTTGTCTACACTCCGCATCAGTGATCTTTATTTTTATTAATATTATGATCCCAGTTTTGTTATAAGTAGCACAGTCATGCGTAGGACAACTTTCATATGTATTCTTGTTAGATGCTTGCAGGAAACAATATTTTTCTTGTTGTACATATTTGATATGTTATTCTTGTTGGATGCTTTTATCAATCGATTTGTTATTTTTGTTGGATATGTTCGATATGTTATTCTTGTGGTAAGTAGCATAATCATTATATCTAGAAAAGTATAGTCAAAGCTACATAAATTTTCAAGTCATCTAAATTTTAGATAAGTTTTGTTCGATATGTTATTCTTGTTGTAAATAGCACAATCATTGTTCCTCTTGATGCTTTATTTTACTTTCAATGTTGTTGCACTATTTGATCGATGTGTATCATTAGCATGTTTCATTAGTTGCATTATGAATAAAAACAAAGAATGGACTACATCAGCAATGTGGGATAAGGATGTGACAAATATTTTTTTGCAATCTCTGTATTAAGGAGATTAAACTTGGAAATAGGCCTACCACCTATTTTAATAAAGAAGGGTGACAGAATATTTCCAAAAAATTTAAAGAAATGACAAGGCGGAATTACGATAGATTGAAATTCAAGAACAAGTGGGATCAGCTAAAGAAAAAGTGGAAGTTATGGAAGGAACTTAAACGGGGATCAACGGGATTGGGTTGGGACCCTGTCAAGCGCACAGTGAATGCTTCTGAGGAATGGTGGACTAAGAAGTTAGAGGTAAAATTGTAACATTGTGAACTCTTCAATTAATTAACATTTACACTTTTATTTTGTCTAATATGCTCACACCCCCTCCCCCCTTCTTGTTGCAGGCAGTACCAAATGCAAAAAAAGTTTAAGTTGTGTGGAATTGAGTCGGACTTGGAAGATAAATTAGATGTTCAAGGGATTTGTCGCTATAGATCAGCATGCATTTAACCCCAGTGAGCAGGGCTTTGCCGGCATCTCAGTTGACGTGATCCTCGATCAGGTTATCGGTTCAGGTGAAGGCCCTAACATAAACCCTAGGAACTTGCGTCAACTGGCCAACTAAAGAGGCGTAAGATGGAAAAAAAAGAAAAAAAATAAAGATGTTTTCGTGCAAAGCTCAATTGATAGACAAATAATTGTATTTGAAGCTCCGATATCAATTGAACCAGCGGCGGATGATCCCACTGTTGATGATTTTATGAGTTTTTTAGATGAAATTTCAGAAGTTTTTGTTGATTCTATATTCTACTTAAAATGTGTTAGGGTTCTCAAGAACCCAAACCGCAGGCAGATTTTCAAGAGGCTCCGCCCCGAGCTCTGATCCTATATTCTACTTAAAATGTATTAGGGTTCTCAAGGACCCAAACCGCAGGCAGATTTTCAAGAGGCTCTGCCCCGAGCTGCGTCTTGATTATTTGCATCTCTCAATTGATAAATGAATCTTTCATATATCCTGTCTATTGTATTTGCTTATTGTAATGAATATTTTGCTTTACGTTTTAGGTGAGGTCTTTGATATGCACAATTTTTTTTTTGGTTTTTTAAGAGTAGTATATTTTCAAGAACAAGTTTCTTTTTTGATATTTGTTGATTTCTTTATCTTTTCTTTAAGAAATTGTTTATGAATAATACAACATTCATACAGAATCGATTGGCTGTGGCAAATGTTATACCGAGAATGCCGCAGAAGAATGGTTGCAGCAATTCTTATATTGTTATTAGAGTACTACCGTTCAAACAGAGTACGAACACTACGAAGCGAAAGGCCTCATCATTTATTGGGGATAAATGGGTGGGTGAGATGCTTGCTGACATCCCATAAGGTTCAGCAACATAATTCGCATCTCCGTACCCATTTTTTTGGATCTTCTGAAAGAACTAACGAAAGGCCTCTTCATTTATTGGGGATAAATGGGTGGGTGAGATGCTCGCTGACATCCCATAAGATTCAGCAACATAATTCGCATGTCCGTACCCATTTTTTTGGATCTTCTGAAAGAACTACGAAAGAATCACGACCTAGTAAGTTCAGCCAGAACTATTACAAGAGAAGTTTTGGCAATTACGTTGTTTATTTTATCTCAAAATGAATCAATCAGAAGAGCTATGAAGCAATTTCAACATTCCTCAGAGACAATAAGCCGATGCTTCTCTACTGGTATAAGATCACTAATTAGTCTAGCTTCACAAGTAATTAAGCCAGAAGATCCAACTTTTAGTAGAACTCCCACCAAAAAAGCCAATAACATGCTCTACATGTCATTTTTCAATGTTAGACTATTCAATTCGTTCTTTTCATTTCATAATATAATTTATATGATGTCTTAAAGATCACCAACAAATCAATACAGAGTTGTATTGGGACAATTGAAGGTACGCATGTCGATGCCCGAACTCTCAAGCGATCCAAAGATCGCGTACATTTGACGGTGTGGTTCACCTACACAAAATATAATGGTTGTATGTGACTTCAACATGTGCTTCACATTTGTGATGGCCGAATGGGAAGGAAGTGAACATGACAACCGTTTTTTTAGCTTTGCGACGAATAATAGCCGACAATGCTTCCCACACCCGCCTCAAGATATGTTAACTTTGATTAATTTATTGGATTTTTTCTTCAAGGGTCGCTATTAATGCAATTCATGTCAGACAAATATTATTTGGTGGATGTCGGATATCCTTTACAGAGAGGGCATTTAAAGTCATTTGCAGACAGAAAGTATCACATTCTTGATTCTGAGAGGTCAAGTGGTGTCGCACATGGTAAGAAAGAGATGTTCAACAAACGTCACTCTTCCTTACTCGGGGTAATCGAAAGGACATTTGGAGTATGGAAGAAGAAATTGGTCATTCTTTGTGATATGCCAACGTATTCATTTCAAAAACATGTATATATTGTTGTGGCTATGATGGCGCTCCACGATTTCATTAGAAGGCATCTCTCTCGCTCTGATACGAACTTCGATATGGTTGATGCCGATGACATGCATGTACCTCTTGAAGCATTTGAATTCCAGGTTGGGCAGTCCATACTAGATGAAGTAATGGATGCAGAAGAATTTAACGCCCAAGTTGGCGAAGGTGCAGATGAGATGATTGCTCTAAGAGAACGTATAACAAATGCAATATGTGATTCCTGATTAATCTACCTCCTTTATTTAATATTCGAATCCTTTTATCAAACATATGGTGTCGACATCAATGATGTCATGGTTTTAATATTAAGATACAATTTGTTTTGGACTATGTCATATGGAATTTTGAACATTTCTGTGAAGTATTCATGGTTGGCTTTAATATAATGCAAGGCTTTTGGGGAGGAAAGGCATTTAATTTCCTTGCATTTACATATCTAACACCTAAACTGTGAAAATTGAATCACATGAAAGATGAAAGACAGCATTTACATGAATTCTCACTTCATTTTTTGGGGATCCAAGGAGGCTCGTAGACTTACATAGATGGCTATTTTCATTAAAAAAAAAATTC